TTTGATGATCGAGTTAAATATGTATTTTTCTTCCCGGTGAAAAAAATCATTCACCAATACTTTCGTCGAAACATTATTTTATTCGCTAAATTTACGATTTTAATACATTTGGTGAGGTGGCAAATGCTTAGCGCGGGTCCTATTAATCTGATACTCCTGATTGATTTTCAAACGAAGACAAAAAGATTTCGTCATTATTTAATGTCGTCGCTTTAAAAAGAACTACATTTTTTTCTTTAAAAAGTTCTTCTTATTATTTTTTTAAATATTGCTAAATGGTGTCGTTTCAGATTGAGAAACCAACTAAAATAAAAGCTCATTTTCATTAAAACTGAAATTCATTTTAACAAAATTCTAATTAAACCCGTGTTCCTCTATGGCAGCAACTGCTGACTTTTAAATAAAACCGAGGAAAATTAACTACTCGCTAATACTCTAATATTTGAAAGAAAAATACTCAGAGCCATCTTCGGAACTGCTAAAGAAAACACAGTGTTATCCAGATTCAGAATAATTATGAATTACGAAGAAAACTTAAGCAACCAAACATAATTCCGGTTAATAAATCCTATAAAATAAGATGGCTGGGTCACATCTATAGAGGGGATGATGGTGACACAGTTGAGAGGCTGAACTTTTGGAAACTTTATTGGCAACCTAAGACCACTAGATGGATTGATTCTGTGAGATCTTAAAACCTTGGAAATCAATAAACGTAGTGTCTGATCAAGCCAGGAGGAGACGACTAATTGGGAAAACCTATGCCCTCTACTAGATTGTCATGCTGATGGACGAAAAATTACAATTTTAAAATATTTTTATAAAATTCTTTTAAACTATTATTTTTAATAAACAATTTTAATTATTTTAATCATTATTTTGAATTAATTTTTTTAAATTAAGTAATTATTTTTAATTTCTATTTTGATGTATTTTAGTTATTATCTCGAATTATTGTTTTTAAAAGTAATAATTATTATATTTTAATAACTATCTTAAAAGTTTTAATCATTTTAAAAACCTTGGGAATCGAAAAAATGTAGTATCTGATCAAGCCAGAAAATTGGGAAAACTATGGGCTGTACTAGACTGTCATGCTGATGGAAAAAAAATTTCAAATATTTTTATAAAATTCTTTTAATCTATTATTTTCAATCATCAATTTTATGTATTTTAATCATTATTTTGAAATATTTTTCTTAAATTAAATCATTATTTTTAATTTTTATTTTAATATATTTTAGTTATTGTCTCGAATTATTGTTTTTAAAAAAATAATTTTCATTTTTTAATAACTATCTTAAAATTTTTAATCATTTTAAATAGAACTTACTAATGAGAAAAAATTTACTAAATAAAACAACACTGGCTGAAAAATTCACTAAATAAAGCAACAAAAGGAGGAAATGATATTAAAAACGATATAAAGAAATTAACAGAAAATATCTTTATAAAATAATTTAAAAAGTTTAGAAACTGCAAGTAAAATAAATTAAAGGTATTAAAATTGTTACCTATCTGGATCGAATTTCTCGGGATTTGGATAATATTTTGGATCCCGGTGGAGAACAAATATAGGAATGCCAACAATCATGTCTTTTTCCAAAATAATACCAGTGTCACCCAGTTTATATTCTGATGCAACCTTTCTTTCAGTTCTAGGGAAAGAAAAAAAAGCTATTTAATTTTCGTCTATAAGCTAATACAATACATGCTATACCAATCAATAATATCATCCAATTCACGTTGATTAGGGATCCGGTCTCCGGTGCGGGGTTCGATCCTCGACTCCGTTAAGACCCACCGAGTGCATACTATATATGCCCTCGTAAAATATGTTTAATCGAAAGTAATTTAGTCTGTCGTTAAGCAGTACCATGTGTAAATTCAAGGATGAGCTCTCGTTTTAAACAATAACAAAATTTTATTTTGGTACATTAGGCTTACATCTGCCTTCATCGAATTCTTAAATCAATCTGAGTTATATTTTCATTATAAGGTGCCATCCAGTGGCTCTGAATTACATTTTCATTATAAGATGCCATCTAGTGTCTGATAATTTTAGCAGATTCTACACCAAGGGCTCAGGAATCTGGAGAAAATTTCCTTTCCATTCAGATTTATGTTTAAATTGAGGAAACGGCCTCATGAATGAGTAGTGCAGCCATCTATCAGTGGGATCTGAGCTAAGGTTTACTTTCACCTTTGCGGTGCTCTCTTGCCAAACGAAAGGGTCACCTTTCTGACTTAAGTCACAAAAGGGCAATGGCTGAAGCTTGTCTTGAAAACAACAGGTTGGTTGCAGAAGAGGAAGTTGCCCAAATCGTATCACTTCTGATTTCTAAAAAATTATTGAGTAGAGAACGCTTTAGCGAATAAATTAGATATCTCTTATGGCGTGGAGATCCATGCAGAAAAATCATGTACTATTTTAACAAACATCACATATAAAATCACACTAAAACTCTGTTACCCATAACATCATGTTACATTAAGATTTTGTAAGATTATAATGCTGTCACTATACTTGTAACATTTCAAAAATTTAATATCGCAATGCTGCTAAAAAATCTTATTCTATTAAAAATCTTATGTTATTAAAAAATTATTTTGGATTATTCATAGTACACTTATTCACTTAATTATAAATGCTCAATACCTTTGAGGTAGATACGAATTAGGCAACTTGTAAGCGGTTTCTTTAATCATACCACTTTTAGATCTTGTGAAAACAATTTCTAGTTCATACTGCACAACCAAACAATAAAAATATTTTTAGAAGCTGAATAACTGCATTTAATTAGAAAGATATTTTAATTGTAATTGTCAGTGATTTGCAATTGATGAAAATTAAAATGCGAAAAGTGATAAGATTTAGGCTACTTTCTTATGTTTGTAACGTTTTTGTTTTCTGAAAAAATGACAAATATTCAAAGGGTACCGCAATTAAAGCAAAAATGGAATTAAAATAACCAATTTAATGTCTCGTGTGGATTGATAGGAAATTATTCTTTGCTTTACTGCTCCATTATTATGTTAAGGTTTTTTTTATGAATATGCATAAAACATTTTTTCTTTTTTATGCATCCGATTTCAGCAAAAAGACTTTTCAAGTAAAACTATATACATCTTTACAAAATGTTGAAATACTAAATACTTTTTCATGTAAAGAACACGCTTTGGAATTACAAAGAATTTGAAGGGTGAAATTAAGCCCACATAAATTTTTTATGTTTAAGGCCGACGGTAGGGTATAACCTGGTCACTAATGGGAATAATTGAATGGACGATTGGACCCCTTAGGAAAATATGCCATAGGTTTGCCATAAAAAATTTATAAAACTCCTATATAAATATTATATAATTCTTATTCCTATGGTGTTTTGCCAATGGTAAAATTTTGCCATAAACGTATGGCAAATGTTTTATATATTTTTTTTATTTAGTAAAATTTGTACCATATGCGTATGGTAATTTTTGTCATAGGTATAAGAGAAAAGTGTATGATAACATTTTACCATGGGTAAAACCACATTGGGATATCCTATAGTATTTTTTAATATATCAAATCTTGTCATAAAATAATAGTGTGCTGTAGCCTTTAAATAAATTTTTCCATAGGCAATAGCAACATTTCTTCACATCCGAATGGAAATTTATCATACAAATTTATGCACAGACAATAATAAACAAGAGTGATTGAATTACAGAAAACTTTCAGGGCTCATTGTTTTCCACATAAATTTTTCACGTTTAACGCTACACTAATGGGACTTCTTTTACCTATAACCTGCCTGAGAATAAATAAATGGAAAAAATTATAATAAATCAATTAATATTATCTTTTTTTTTTCAATCATTAAATTTTCCCAGTATTATCTGAGCTATCTTAGCACTAAATAATTTAACAAGGATATAAAAAATATCGAATTATAGAGCAAATATGGAGCAATTTTTTTAAAAAAAAAACTTAAATAAAAACTACACAAAACTAAAAATCTAATCATCTGCTGTACTAATCGTCTACTAAGAGAGCTACAAGCCTAGCATACGACAAGAAGAACGAATTTACTTACCTCACTGCTGGAGGATAGAGTCTTAAAGTCTCTGAAATGATGTTATCCAAATATTTCATGTTGTGTAAAGCTTCGTATGTCAATTCACCCTATATGTAAATAAAATATGCAGGTTTAAAGAATTAATATCATTTAAATAAAATAGCAGGTTTAAAAACCGCTATGTTTTTAATTGTATTAGGTTTTAAAATAATTTTAAACCACCACGAAAGAATGACTTAGACTACTATGTCTTGTACATTAAAGAAAATGCATTTGTCATTAAAAAGAAAAAGAATACGTTAATATATAGCATCAGGTAAAGAAAAAAAAATGAATTTTAGTTCTGCTTTTTTTTTCTTTTTTTTTTTTTTTGTCCAAAATATTTTTCGACTTTTTTGAACGTAAAAAATTTAACTTAACTTGATTTTATACCAAAAAAAAACTTTCATTAATTACCGGATAGCCTGATGTACAAGTCTACTTTACAAATCCCCAAAATTACAAATCAGAAAAATTTCGGACATTCGTTGATCCTGAAATATCGCTACATATAATAAACAATGAGATATATATGAATAACTCTGTATCAATTTATCCCTTTCAAAAACTATTTTTAATGTGTATCTTATCATATTTTCTTTACATGTGAAGGTCTTTTTTTAGAAAAAATATTTGAAATTCTGTTCAGAAAAAAATTAATCCGAAAGTTAAGTTTTTCAAAAAATATTAAACAATAAAAACTTTAAAAAAAAATACTATAAAGCTACATATCGACTACTATACAATAATATACGATCGACTACTATACGATCAAATACTATAAAGCTACATATTTAAAGATTCTAGAACATTATATTGTGTGTCAGATTCAATAATATTAGCAGTATCGTCATACGGAACCAATCTTTGCAATGGATTTTAATTCATTCACATGTGCTGAGTCCCACAAAGAAAAACATCTTCACCTCATCCAAAGAATTCGAAATTTCCCAGTTTTTATTAAAAGATTTTATTCAGTTATTTGAATGAACATTTTGCCACGCGTTTCGTATCATTTGGCTCAAGACGTCGATATTTTATTTTATAACCAGAGTTGAGTAGCCAATCCAATTTTAAGTTTGCGACTGTCAATGTTCAACTTTGAATCCAACTAAGTAAACAAAGGAGCTCCTGGGTTAAGCATTGGGACAAACAAGCCATCATGGAGGACTTCTAGAGGGACTAACCCGTATTTGCGTTACATGGGGAGGAAAACCACAAATACCTACTAAGGTTAGTTCGATGACAAAGGGATTCTAACCAGTAATCCATCTAACATTGAGTCGTTAACTCAGAATTGAGTCTGATATTCAATATCTTTTATAAAATAAAATGAAATAACAATCAGCGGCTTTGAGGGGAACTCCTCCAGACTGAAAGTCTGGGGCTGTCTGCTGCTACGGTAACAAGCGAGAACACATTTCTAATGGGGGTGAAATGGAGGAAAGAAGGTGTCGATTGGTTTACTTACGACGACCTACGCTAAGATTAAGACAAAACTATTCACCGCACACTCCTATTCGAAGTGACCTTTCCTCGTAACCATAGAACTCGCCACGAAGCGAGACGGGGGTCTGAAGGAGTTCTCCTGAAAGCCGGTACTTGAAGTTGAGTCAAATTTAGATTTTTTTTAAATTGGAACAGCAAATTCCCTCTATAAATTCTGCAACCGGTATTATGCTTAGATTAGATACAAAAATTAACCCTCTGGTGGTTGCTAAAAAAGTTAATCTACATTGATCTCTGCAGAGCGAAATCTATTTTCTTATGTTATTACACAAAAAAAGGCGGATACGGGAAAAAAAGTTCATCCATAATTATTTATACTATTACCAGAGGTGTTAAAATACGTTCTTACATTCGTCTCCTTTAAGCATTGTGTAATTTCTTGATAAGCTTTCTCTTGAATGTCCCCATTCAGAGCCAGGCAGTACATGACGTAAGTTAATAATGTTGCTGTGGTTTCATAGCCAGCCAAAAAGAAAATGACACACTGGGCCACCAACTCATCCATCGAGAGGTCTGAAATAAGAATAAAAGTGAATATCTTGAATAAATTGAAAGATCATTTATAGTGAAACAGCAAATGGTTGAAGATCTTTAAGGAATTGAAGATTTACTTTTCTATCACAAAATTTGAAGTACAATTGAGGAAAAATAATTGAAGATCTTGAATGAATTGAAGATCATCTATTATAAAAATTAAAATGCAATAAAAGCAAAACCTCATTGAAGATCTTCAATTACAAAATTTTAAATAGAATTAAGCAAAAATAACTGAAGATATTGGGTAAACTGAAGATCATCTTTCGTGAATTGTAATACAATTAAAATTAAGGAACATAAAATCTTGATGAAGTAATATTATTTTTTAAAGTATTTTCGAATAAAAAAACTAATGAAAGAAGTCAATTAAGGACTTTAAATAAAGATTTTATCGAAGAGTTGGCCGAAGCTATTATAGGAACCAGCTGAGCAAACTGTTCGTTAAAATCATTATTTATTTATTTATTGTTTGATTTATTTATTGATATTACTTCATATTCATGATTTCTTCTTGATACTCATATAATTTAAATCTGCATTTTTTACGTAAGGAAATTGCAGATACGGTATAAATCGATTATTCTATCTTAAAAGCTTATTAGCTCTTCAACATAGAGCATTTTAAATTCCCATCTTATTAAAAAGAAGGAAAAAAAGCACCAATTATTTATAAAAATTGTCTCACTCGCGATCCAAACAAAGAATGATGAAAATGACTCTTACTTTTATTTTCCGATGTATTAAAAATGGTTTGGTTGACGAAATCTTGTCCATACTTTGCAGCAATTTCATCATCATCTACATCATCTTTTTTCTCACTCTTATTAGTCTCTTCAGCCGTGTCCATCAATAGTTGAAGAAAATCATTTCTGGTCTACATATATGGAGATGATAAAAATAACATAGAGTGATGTTTCAAGGCAACAATTTGATAAATTGTAAACGACAAAAAAAAACTGATTGTACTGAAATGATTAATATAGTGTGCGATTTCCCGAATTGCTATGACTTTCGCCCACTTATTCTGCATGGATGCGATGAGACTTTGGGGAATACTGCTCCATTCTTGACAAAGTGCGATCTCCAAGTCTTGGTCTTGCAGCAACAAGAGGCCTTGCAGCAACACGTTGTCCGAGTACATCCCACGCAAGCTGGATCAGCATCAAGAAAGTTCTCCACAAGACAGGCTGTATGACGTCTGACATTATCCTTTATTTAACGAAAGTAATCACCGATGGCTGCAGCATAAGATACGACATGCGGTCTCAGGATCTCGTCTGCATTCCTTTGAGCCGTCAAATTGCATTTCTGAATGAAATGTAGGTCTGTACGTCCAACTATGCTGATTCCAGCTCATACAAACAAACCACCTTGTCTGTAATGTGATCCTTCCTGAACGAATATATTTTAATTTATAACCGTCTTTGAACAGCCAATTCAATTTTTGGGTTTACTACTACTAATGTTCAACAACGTATGCTTCTAATTTTGAACCCAATCCTGAAGACAACTGAATTCCTGGATCAAGTATTGGGGAAAACTTGTTTTGATGGAACTAACCCGCATTTGCGTAGCATGGAGAGGAAGACCACGAGAACCTCCCAAGGTTACTCTGACGGCAAGGGATCTCTAACCCATGATTCCTACCACTGAGAATATTTCGCATCAGCCCTGTAGTTGGTGCAAACCGGATGCGTAATTTTATCGATCAGTCATCGCTGATCGGTTCACCTAATTATCTTCGGGCGGCACAGTTTCTGACTGTCAAAGAAATGCATACTATTGGCTGACCATCCTCATGCAGCCTATTTCGATTTGTTTGGATTGAAACCCTTTCTGTCGTTGCTAAAAGAAACTATCTTTGAATCAGCGTGGTTCTGTGTCGACGAGCTATTAACTGGAGACATCGGTCATTATTTGCTGTGGTAGGACGTGGACGACCTAGTCCTGGACAATGTTAAACATGCCCTTTCCTTCAGATTCGATCTCAGTTTTTCAATGACACCACTTCTTGCAACTTCGACTTCGTCCGCTACATTTCTTTGTGTTCATCCGGATTACAGGCTCAGGACAATACGTCTAGCCATGAATTCGGGTAGATCACGTTATCGTGTCATTTGTAAGTAAATTTTTCTCAAAACAAAAGTCGAAAGGTCTTATTTTACTACACAGGGAACAAAAGACAGCAGCTTTTGCAAAATCAAGATTTCTTTTCTTTTGTTCTTTTCTGCTATACTTAAGATTATGGATATTTTGCTTCGGCTTGATTATCAGAAAGAATCCTTGCATAATTTTGATGAATCCACGTGTTCCCCTAATTTTTGAGCAACGTATTTATGAATTTTAAAGTGTATTCAATTCTAATTTCATCCATAGTGTGTTCACAACCCTGAAGAAATTCCCAACGCCTCTTAAATAACCAAAACCTTGCTAGTGAGCCCTTAAAGTCTTCACCACCCACTGGAGAGAGCGATAGCGCTCGCTTCGGTAACATATGCTCTAGCTAGTCTGAAAGTGGACAAAATTTTGATTGTAAGATTCTATTTGCACCAACTCGAAAGTGAGTTACATAATAAAGTAAGTACATAAATAAGCGGAAAAAATAAGAGAAATATATACAATAAAATGAGCCTACTTGTTTTGTCCTTTTTCTTTCAGCTATAATCTGCGCAGTCACTTCGCTGAAAAAGTTTGTGGAGGCTGGGTTGGTAACTGCTATCTTAAAGAAGTTCACTAATTTGGGTGAGAGCACTAAAATAAATAAAAACACTTTATCAAACAATATCTTAACACTTTATCATACAACATATTAACATTCATATCAACACTTTACAGGATAAGTCAAAACAAATCATAGGTTCTTTTATCATTCACGTTTTCTGTGGAAAAAAATGCGCCGAAAGAACAGCGCCACTTCAATGAGTGACCAACCCACAGTGGGTTGGTCGCTGATCTACCGCACTCTTACATTGGCCACCACGATAACCAATTATCAACCGATACGATTTTCTTTCGGTGAAGATTCGTAAAAGATCACGTGTATGTGTCTCCAGGTCCAACTGATTTGATAGTTCGTATTACAGTTGCTATCCAGAATAATTGATGGCAGCTAGACACCTGATGTATGCCACATAAGAGTCACGAGTTCGTGCCTGGAAGCCCTCAAAATAACCGCAGTCGGGTATACGTTAAATTTGTCGCAGATGAAAATCCCATTGTTGGCTGTGGTGCGAAAGTTAAGAGAAGGTGGTAACCAGCTCAGGCGTTGTTCACGTCCTCTGACCGGGCTCTTAATGACTTGGCATTCTTGCCTGTTAAAAGATCAAGCCCTAAAAATGGGGCTAGGTACTTGGCAATGGTTGGGTGATGCGCATGCCGTATAAGAAAAGAAACGCGTATCGAACATTTGACAGGAATACATTCAAAACTTGCTTTTTGCAAGAGTAAGCATTTTATGCATAAAGCATTTATGAAGTTGATACATTCATTTTGACTTACCCTGTCCTGTACAGTGCACAAAATAAAAAAACAAGCCACCATCAATAACTTTTGATCTAATGATCGGATCTTCACGTTCTGGAACTCAATCTTAATGATTCAAAGAGGTGATCTCAAATATGCTAATTAATTATGGAGACGATATTTTAAATTACGAAATCAGACTCAAAAACGTGCTTTTTCTGAATAAACTTGCCTTTTTTTACTCGACGGATTCGGATTTCCGATGCCCGAAACATAGGGGAAAGCCGTTATTTGGTAAATATGAGCCCAATAGTTTAGCCAGGAAAGCGGTCCAAAGTTTGAATCCCTTAACGTTAATTTTACTAATAATGCATATTTTGCCATATCTCGATAGCTTTTTTAAGCGAATTGAAAAATTATTGTACACAATTATAAAATTCATTTATCCAAAGATAATTCCATGCATAAAATAACTTTTAATAAATATTTATCATATTTAATAATAGTCGAAAAAATTTTGATTTATAAAGTATACAATTGTTTACATCAATTTAATACAATATTTTAATTAACATAATTTTACGCTACAAAATACAAACTTTTCGTGAAATCGGTCGAATGAGTCGTCCTGAGAAGTTTAATTTGAAAGAAGTGGTATTTTGAAAATTGAATTTCTCAAGTGTATGCAAATACAATTCGACAGATTTTGTTTATATTTTGTTGTTTGCCATGCAAAATTAAATTGCTTAAAATGATGTAAAAAACTGTATACCTTACAATTCAAAATTTTTTTCGACTAATATTAAATAAAATATAAAAAAATAATAAACATTTACTAAAATTTCTCTTTTGCATGGAATTATCCTTGGATAAATGAATTTTATAATTGTGTGCAAATATTTTTCATTTCACTTAAAAAGTAACCGAGATATGGCAAAAAACGCAAAAAGTAAAATTAACATTAAAGGGACCAAAGTTTGGACAGCACTCCTGGTCAAACTATTCGAACCATAATTCCCATATGGTGACTGCCCCCTTTGTTTCGAGGGGTCAGGAATCCGAATCCGTCAAGGACAAAAAAGTATGTTTTATCAGAGAAAGTAAGTTATTGTGTCGGATTTCGTAACTTAAAATATCGTCTGCACTAATTAATAACCATATTTAGGGTCACCTCCTTAAACCATTAATATTGAGTCTGAAGATCCGATCATTAGATCAAAAGTTATTGATGGTGGTCCGTTTTTTATTCTGCGCACTGTACTTTCGGTTAAAAAATCATTGTAAATGAATACTTACGAAAAAGAAGCATTCTCCAACTGATCTTAGTACCAAAACCTTCTCTTGCATATCGAACAAATGTATTTTCTGGATCGTTGTGAGAATCTAATTTGGTCGAAAAGGCAGAACTAGCAATCACGTCCATAGTGAACGCTCCAAACAATCTATGAAATATCACGTCAACGTATAAAAGTGAACTGATTTAAAACTTATAACTTATTTAGCTGAATTAAATAAAAATTAACTTACTAAAACATTTTTCAAAGGTGTGATAAAAATAGATATGAAATAGATATTAAAATAAAATATAGAGGAAATCGATTATCTAAAGCAGTTGTTCTCAAATTGTTGTTCAGTGGAAGGGTTACAGTGGATCTGAGAGTTCGAATTTTTTTCACCATTTATTATTATTGAAACATGTACAGTACAGAACCCGTTATCCGGAAATCAGAAAACCGGAAAACCAAAAAACCGGAACGAAATTCGATAAATATTCCCGTTATTTTTGAAGAAAAAAAATTTTTTTCCTCATAAGATTTTGGGATTTTTCTTTCTTTTTTGAAAGATGTTTANAACTTAGTCAAACATTTTTCAAAGGAATGATATAAAATAAATAGATATGAAATAGATATTAAAATAAAATATAGAGGAAATCGATTATCTAAAACAGTTGTTCTCAAATTGTTGTTCAGTGGAAGGGTTACAGTCGTTCTGAGAGTTCGAATTTTTTTCACCATTGATATTTATTGAAACATGTATTTAAATTTATAGCTAATCCATCATTCACTTAATATTTCCGTTATTTTTATGACATCATTTAATTGAAATGCTTATGAAGAAAGAAATTTCAAGAAATAAGTCCCGCGATAAGGATTTGAAATTATTAGCCAGTAAATTAGCCAATAATCAAAAGTATTCGTTTTCAAAAAACTTGGCCAAATGCAAGTCATAAGAATTTTTAATGATAAATTTTTTCCCCATAGAAAACTATTTATATAGTTTGTTTCAGGCTTATATTATTTGGACCCAATTCTAATTGGTTATGCGGCGCACCTATCGAAAATTACTGGAATAGAATAAAAATTACTGATTTGTCTAGAAAAATTCATTTTGACGTAATTTTGAGGATCGAGTTATACATATAATTTTCTTTTCAATGGAAATAATCAGTCACAAAAACGCAATTTTTTTCGCCAAATTTACGATTTTATTGCATTTGGCGCAGGGCTAAAGAGAATAGAAGGGCTAGTTCACTTCGCTCTTAGAGCTGAAGCTACGATTTCCCTCCTCATGACGTCACTGTGTCCACAGATCTCGGTATCATCCAAGTGGTTTATG